CTTTTTCTTTTTCCTTTTTTTTCTTTTTTTCTTTTTTTTTTTGAGGGAGAGGGGAGGTGTGGTTGATTTTGATTTTAAAAGGAAATATTATTTTTGACAAAGATAAAGTATTAAAGAAAAAACGCTCATCATGTGTCCATCGGGAAGAAAAAGGAAAAAGGAAAAAAAAAACCCACGAAACCAATGAGTTTAATCAAACTGAGTGATTTGATAGTAATTTTTCATTTTGACCGACATTTTGTTTTTTTTTAAAAAAAAATTCCACCATTAAAAAAAAATTTTTTTTTTCTTTTTCGAAATTATTAAATTTAATTTCGTTTGTTTTTTCGTTTGTTTGTTTGTTTGTGTTCACGACGATTGTGTTAAAGGTTAAATTTATTTTTTTTACACTTTGACATTTTGGTGCGATATTTAAAAAGAAATAAAAGGGGAGGGAGGGAGTGAAACGTTTTTTCAAAAAAAAAAAAAATTCGTTTCCGGGGAGCGGAAAAAAAATTTTTTTTTATTAATTTAGTTTCATTGATTCTCGATAGATGTCACTATAAATTAACATTTTAAAAATTAAAAAAAGTAAAAAAAAAATTTTTTTTTTTAATATTCACAACCGATTCCGTTTTTTTTTTTTTTTTTTTTTTTTTTTTTTTTTAAGGGTTTAGGTTTTAAAATTAAAAACCCGATTTAGTCCCCAAACATAAACATTTTTTTTTTTTTGAATTTCGGGCCCCCCAAAAATTAAAAACATACCCAAACAAACAAAGGGAAAAAAAAAAAATTTCGGTTAAATTTAAAAACAATAGAATTAGAATCATTAAAAAATAAACGAAATGGAAACAAATATTTAAAAAATAATAATAATTTCTCAAATAAAACATTTATTAATAATAATAATAATAGTTTTATTATTACCGTTAGTATCGTAAAATCGTCATCATTAATTTATTATTCGATTTGCGTACGTACCTGAAAAAAAAAAAAAAATTTTTTTCCGTAAGGTGGGATTTTGTGGGGTTCACACACACACGCAAAACACGGAAAATTTTTTACATTATCCGAATAAATCAAATTTTTTTGGTTAATTTAAAAGGTCAAAAGGTTGATTTCTTAATTTATAACGGAAAAATTTAATTTAATAATGAGATTAGATTACAATAGGAGAAGGGGGCGGGGGGAAAGAAAAAATTTCGAAATTTTTTTTTTTTTTTTTTAATATTATTATTAATCGTTTTAATTAAGAAAAGAATAATTTATTAGAGATAAATAATAATTTAATAGAGAGAATTATTTTTACTTTGTGCAATAAATAAGTACATAAATTGATTAATTTTTTTTTTTCCTTTTTTATAATTGAAAAAAAAGGAAAAAAAAGGAAAATCTCTTTTTTTTTTGATTAGTATTAATTTTTTTTAGTAATGGGGTTGTTATTTCGTTTTCTCTCTTTAAAACAACTTCCGTTTCCTCTCACCGTTTCGTTTATTTCAATGAGAAAAGTATTGAAAAAAAAATTGCATAAAATATTTTTATCTTTTAACCAAAAAAGGTAATTTTAAAGAAAAAAAAAATTATTACCACGTTTTCTTTCATTCATACCCACGAGTTTAAATGTGATTATTATGAAAAATAATGGTTTTTCTAAACATTTTCGAAATGGGTTTAAAAAGGGAATAAAAAAAAAAAAATTCACTTTACCTTCGGAAAATTTTTTTTTCTTTCCCCGTCTTTCCCCCAAAAGCATATAATAAAAAAAAAAAAAGACAGGAAAAAAGAAATCCATCAATCGATACATGTAGATAATCAAATTCTTCAAAAGAAAAAAAAAAAAAACGCGGTATCACTTTTGGGGATTTTCACAAAAGTGAATTACACCATTTGGAATTCCCCCTCCTTCCTCCCTCTCACCCTTCCCCTTTCCCACCCACACACGCACGCACATAATAAGACGCCGAAGAAGAAGAAGAAAAAAAAAATATCTATGGAAATTTTTATACAACGTGACAGGAACCTCACTTGATTGATAAATACCACGTTTACACGGCTGGAGGGGTTTAACGTCACGATCTTTTTTTTTTTTTTTTTTACCGAAAAAGTCAAAAGCCACTTAAAACTTTTTTTTTATTATTTGTTTATATATGTGCACGTATCCCCTGGAGAACGAGTTTTGGAAAAATACCGAAAAGGCAAAAATCAGGACGGACGAACGAACAGCAGGCAGACAGACAAAAGATAAATAAATTTAATTTTTTTTTTTTTTTTTTACATTCTCATCATTCAAACGTTTTGATTTAAAAAAAGAAAGAAAAAAATTTAAATGGGGGGTTGGGGGTTAAAAAAAATTATTTAATCGATGTGATAACGTTGTTATCGATCGTGATATCGATTGATTTTTTTTCAACTCTTGGAAATAATAATAAAAAACTCGGCAATTTTTTTATTTTTAATTTAAAAAATAAAACAATTCCCCCACATTGATGAGTACGTTTCCTCTCCCCGAGAAAAAAAAAAAAAGAAAAGAAAACCAAAATCATTTGAAAAATAAAATAAGAAACTCCCGCGTAATCATCTCATCAATCTAAAGGGTCAACCAATATTATATAAAGAAGAAGAGAGAATGAGAAGGAAATCAAAAAGGGGAATCCATAAAGTAAAAATATCACCCCAAGCATTTATTTTTAAGGGATGAAGAAAAAAAAAAGTGATTGGAATTTTATATGTATATATATATATATTATTCATGCATATAAAATTGTTAATGGGAAAATATATAATATATATAAATGTAAATTGCATTAACCGGAAATGAATAAATGCGTAGTTTAAAAAAAAAAAAAAAATTCGCACTAAACGATGTGACGAGATAAAAAAATTTAATATTTTTTTTTTTTAAATGAATTTTTGTTTTAATGGATTTCATTGAATTGTAACGGTCATTTTATATTTCTTATTTTTTTAAATATTCGATTATTTTTTCGCTTTTTTTCGGCGATTAAAAAATTGTTTTTATTATTATTATTATGGTTTGCATCCTGACCTGATTAAATATTTTATAATCAGGTACGATTGAATTTTAATTTAAAAAAAAGAAAAAGTATTTTCGCGATAAATGATGTGACGAGATAAAAAAACTTATTTTTTTATTTTTTTTAAAATGAATATTTGTTTTAATGGATTTTATTCAATCGTAACGTTCATTTTATATTTCTTATTTTTTTAAATTTTCAATTATTTTTTTTTTTTTTCTTCCGGCGATTCGAAATTGTTTTATTATTATTATTATTATTATTATTATTATGGTTTGCATCCTGACCTGATTAAATAATAATCAGAATCAGGTATGATTGAATTTAAATATAAAAAAAACATTTTAGAGCTAAATTATGTGACGAGATAAAAAACTTATTATTATTTTTATTTTAAAATGAATATTTGTTTTAATGGATTTTATTCAATCGTAACGTTCATTTTATATTTCTTATTTTTTTAAATATTCGATTATTTTTTCGTATTTTTTTTTGTCTTTTCGGCGATTCGAAATCGTTTTTATTATTATTATTATGGTTTGCATCCTGACCTCATTTAATAATAATAATAATCAGGTACGATTGAATTTAAATAAAAAAAAAAACATTTTAGCGCTAATTTATGTGACGAGATAAAAAATTTATTATTATTTTTATTTTAAAATGAATATTTGTTTTTATGGATTTTATTCAATCATAAAGGTCATTTAATTTTTTTTTTTTTTTTTTGTAATTTATATAAAAATTTTTTTTTTTAATTTTTGGTTATTTATCCGTTTTTGTTATTTTTCGGCGATTCGAAATTGTTTTTATTATTATTATTATTATTATTTTTTGCACCCTGACCTGATTAAATATTTTATAATGAGGTACGATTGAATTTAAATGAAAAAAAATATAATAAATCGAAAGTAATAAATATATACAAATAAAAATAAATTTAAATTTTCATTGATTTTTAACCGTAATAATAATAATAATAATAATAATAGTAAAAGTTTTTAACTAAAACTAAAGTTTTTTTTTTATTAACCATTAAAACAATTCGGTAAAATGCAAAAGTAAAAAGTTAGACAAATAAAATAAAGGGAAGGGAAACGGGGAGCGGGGGCGGGGGAGGGGAGAAGAGGAAGGGGGAAAGAAAAAGAAAAGAAAATAGAAAATTTTTAAAAAGTTTTTTTTTTTTTTTTTTTTTACTATAATAGTTTTACCAAGAGACTTTTTGAACTTATCTTTTTGACCACTATTTATGTGTAAACTTTTTTTTTCCGTTATAATCAACGAAAACGATTGTCAAGTTTAAAATATATTTTAATTTACGCGCGTATTTTTTTTTCTCGGCGATAAAATAAATTTAAAAAATAAAAATAAAAATTTTCAATATGTATATTGTAAGAAGCATTTGTCATTTTTCAATAATATTTTCAAATCAAATATAGTTTTTACTATATATATATATATATTCTATAGCAAATGTAAATAAAATTTGAGAGAGAGAGAGAGAGAAAAAAAAAAGTATATACGTATATGTATGGAGCTTTGAAGAACGAATGAAAAAAAAAAAACATTTGAAATTTAAAAAAAAGAAAAAAAATATTTTTCTTAGAAGAATTATATGTTGAATGTTATACGAATGCGAGCCACCCTCTTTTAACGTTAATCCTTTCCGTATTTTGCCGGTGAATGAGGAATACCACCAACCGAATGCGTTTACGTTATACGTATTTTCTTTATTTCAAGGCCACGGTCGGAGCTTTTCTCATTTCCACGAAATCCTTCGTATGATTCGGTTTAAAATTTCGAAAATTTTCCGTCGGAAAATTTTTTTTTTTTTACACGCCGGTTAATATCGGGATTTATTTAATCGATACGTTTTTATTAAAACGTTTTAATAAAAAAATTCAATATGAAAATATTTGTGTTTAATTTAAATTTAAATTTAAAGTGATACGTAAATTTTTTTTTTGTTTTTTTTTAAAATCAAAAATGGGTGGAAATAAAAAACCGACGGGATTGAAAAAACCGTTGGTTTATCATTCGAGCATACCCGCTCATATAAGATCGATAGCACAAAATATAACGGGTGGTAAAATTTCATCTAAAAACATATTATCGGATAACGTTTTGGAACAAAGCGTGGGTTTCATAGCCGAAAGTCCGACGAAAACGTATAAAAAAATAGCAAACGTTAAAAAAAATTTAAAATCGACGACAAAGGAAGATCAACAAAAAAAATCATCGCCCGGAAAATATTTACTAAAAACGGTATCACCGACTCCGACTCCGACGTCACCCGTGTCGTCGTGTCGACGTCCGACAAGTCTTCAAACAAACGTTTCTTCCGGTTACGAATCCGAATATCAAAGTTCGGATGTCGGAAGTTGTTGGGAATGGACGGCGGCTGAAGTTTTATGGAAATGGCAAAATAATAATTTAAAAACTAAAAAGGTGAGTGAAAATAATAAAAAAAATTGCAACACGTCATCATTTCTCGGTTGCACGGCGCGTCACGCGTCCACAGGAACATTTCTCCATTCTCTTGTTATATTATTAATATGGTAATTCATAAAAGAAAAAGGGTCCGCGAAACACGTCGTGTGGTGGTGGCAGCGGCAAAGAGAGTAGTGGTTAAATGAAAAACCACACACGCACACACATACGCACACACACACACACACATTGTGCAAAGAAATGAGAAAAAATACATATAAATCATATAAAACAATATTGGCGGCGGTGATGTGTCACCATCTTTAATTAAAGTATATATTTATGTGTGTGACGGGGCTAAGGAAAAATGATAGCGATGGGAGAAAAGTGACGATGATAATCCAGAGATGCCTTATGTAAATATTTGGTTGTTGTTGAAACAGTCAGCATCCCTTTAAATTCCTTTACGATTCACCGATGACACCCTTCTATCTCTGTCTCTCTCTCTCTCTCTCTCTCTCTATACAGATTGATCACTTTTTTTTTTATTTTTTTTTTATTTTCAACCCCTCCCTATGTGTGTTTGAGATACCGTGAAAAAAAATTTTTTTTTTATAAGAAAGAACTTCGTTGTGTGTTTGTTTGTTTGTTTTTTTATCGTGAATATCGCATGCAAACATCAGACTAATAATAATAATAATAATAATCGACAATAAGATATTAGGGATATAGCTTTTTAAAAGGCGTAAAAATAGCCTTTATCTCTTTGGTAATTTTTTTTTTAAAAGAGATAATTGGTACTACTGCGTGAAAATGATGACAACATTCGAACAATACGTTTCGTTTGTTTTTTTTTTGTTTTTTTTTTTTTTTTCATTTCGATTTGTTTAAAAGATAAAAGTTTTAAGTTTTTTTTTCTCGTTTGTTTGTTTGTTTGTTTGTTTGTTATTTATTTTACCGAATATTTAAAATGATATTTTTATTTTAAAACGGGGAAAAAGAAAAAACATTTCGATGTCTTATTTGCTTTTTTTAAACGTTTAAAAGTTATGGATCGAGAGTGAGTGAGTGAGTTTGCTTAGCAGACGATTCTTATTGCAAAATCGCGATCAAATGTTTAACTTACGTAAATTTTTACTTTTAAGGGAATCGAAATAAATTTTTTTTTTTTTTTTTAAATTATGAAAATTAACTAAATCTCAATTACACGGATTTTAAATACGTAAATTTTAGAAATACAATTAAAAATATTTTTCCCGGGTAATTATAAAAAAAAAATGGCGACAGGAGAAAATTTTCAATACGTAAATATATAATTCTAATTCAGGAGACAAGGGAAAAATTTAATTTAAATTAGGTTAATAAAAAATAGGTGATTAATAATGATGATGATACCGTCGAATTTTTTGTTTTTTTTTTTTTTTTTTTTTTTTTAACGGAAAAACTCGTATTACGTGATTTTTTTTATTACCCCCTCTCCTCCCTCCCCCCTTTCCGGTTTAATTTTTCAAATAAACATATGAAAAGGAAGTTTCCGGAAGTCATAGCGCGTGTATTTTCCGGATTTAACGCTTTAACTTTTTGCATAATTTAAACATAAAAAAAAAAACGTCGTGAAGTTATTTAAAATTTTTTTTTTTTTTTGTAACGAATCGAAATTAAATTTTTTTTTTTTTCGTATGAAAATTGAATTTTTTCTTTACTTTTCTCTCTCTCTCTCTCTCTTTTTATATCAACGTTTAAAAAAAAAAAAGATGAAAAAATGCAACGGAAAAAAAAAAATAATACTAATAATATTTTTTAAAAAGTTCAATTCGTTTGCCTTTGAATAAAAAGTTTTCCTTTTCTTTTTCTTTTTCATAATTTATTCAGTTTCTTTTTTTCTTTTTACTTTTTTTTTTGATTTAAAGTTACTTTTTTATTTCATTTTATTTTACTTTTTCTGTTTTTTTTTCTGTTTTTTTTTCTGTTTTGTTTTGTTTATTTATTTTTTTTTTTTATCCACTTTATTTATTTTATTCTTCCCTTTGTTTTTTCTTTTTTTTTTTTTTTTGTTTTATTAAACCCAAAACGACTCCTCATAACATTCAATTAAATAAAAACAATATATAGAAATGAAAAAAGGAAAAAAAAATACTTCTTTTTTTTTTGTACTTTGCCGGAAGTTTTATGATACATAAAATGAACACAAACGATTACCGTAATAATAATAATACTAATAATAATACTAACAATAATAAATCAACGTATCAAACGAATTTTTTTTTTTTTGAAATGTATTAAAAAAAAAAATTCAATTTGGCCGTACTTAAATTGCCTAAACGTCAAAATGCAGGCGTATCGTTTTGTAAAAAAAAAAAAACAAAAAAAAAAGAATTTTAATAATGATAATAATTAAAACAAAACAAAAACAGGATTGAAAAAAAAGAAAGGGAAGGGAAGGGGGACGGACGGCGGACGTGTTCGGTTTTAAAATATAAAAAAAAAAAAAAAATTTTATCGACTGGAAAATTTTTTTTTTAAAACAAAAAAAAAAAAAAAATTCGAAAGGCGAAAATCAATTTGTTATATTTTTTCCCTTGTCTCACAAACAAAAAGTAGGGGGGTGGCCGTATCGAAATCACAAGTTTGAAAATTTTTCTACGGCCGATACGATGACTGACCACCCCTTGACAAGGCCAGGAACACACACAACAGATTGAATCCATTTTAGTAAATTTTGACTTATCGCATAGAGTGTGTAAAAAAAAAACACCACCCCAAAAAGATGGAAAAGGTCGTCGAAAGTAAAAAAAAAAAAAAAAAAATTCCGATACGAATCCCGGTTAGGAAAAAAAAAAAAATTTCTCTCGCTCTCTCTTTTGGAGTGTTTGCAATTAATAATAAAAAAAAAAAAGTGGAGGAAAAAATAATTTAAGGGTTGGTGGTTGTAGTAATATGATGGGCGGGCGGCAAAGCGGAGGAATTGAATCAATATTTTAAAATTCAATTTATTGATAATTGAATAGAGAAAAGATGGAGGTGAGGAGTTTTTTAGGTGCACTCAACTATTTAATATTTACTTTTCCAGACAGAGTTTGCTCTCTCTCTCTCTTTCTCTCTCTCTAAAAAAAAGTTCACATCATCTCTTCGTCTCTTCCTCTTTCCTCCTCCACCTCTTCCCTCCCAATTTTCCCTTTTTCCTTTTAAACTAATTTAACTCTAAACATTCTTTTATGCAATACTTTTTTGATTGTTTGCTCTCTTACACACTCTCTTACTCTCTCACTCTCTCGCTCTTTTTTTAACGGTTTCAAACACACATTTTAAAGCTTTCATCATATAAAAGGTCATAAAAAAAAAAAGGAAAAATTTCTTCGAGTGAGAACGTTAAAATGTTTGAACAAGTGGTTGAAATTTTTTTTTTAATTATTTACGTTTGAGATTTTTGATTGATTAAGGGTTCAAGGTCAGTCAATTTTATAGTTTTTACTATTATTATTATTTTATTTTTCAACAACGAGATCGCGAATTAATTTATTAATTAATAAAAATTTATTAATAATAAAAATTAATAAAAACGTGGCTTTAGTTTAAAAAAAAAAATTAAAATTGTTAATATCGAATGAGTTGAATGTAATAAATATAACAAATTTGTATGTTGGCAACCGTGTTGTTATTGTTTTAATAATAATAATAATAATAATAATGATAATGATAATAATAATGCTAATAAAACATGAGCGATGATTTTTGATACGAAATTGTTGAATGTTTTTGTTCCATTTCAAGGTGTTTTATTGCCACGAGGCATTTATTCAAGTTAATCTTATAATAATTGCGTGGGTGTTAAAACCCCTCCTTGTCCTCCTTCTCGTCCGCCTCCGCCTCCTCCACCTCGTATTTGGGTTAGGTGTGGATTTTGGCTACTTTTTGTCATTTTTTTTGGCAAGAGAAAAAACGTAAAGGAGAAAGATTTATTGATAGTTTTTTTTTTTTTGGTTCGATTTCCGGTTGTAGTTGTAGGTACGCATTAGATGGAAAATTCGTTTTAATCGTTTCCGTTTTCTCTCTATCTCTCTCTCACGTTTTTCGTTGTCATCACTATACTTTTTTTTTTTATCCGTATATCTATTTCTCTTTTTTTTCCAAACGTATCGAAAAAAAAAAAATCATTTTCTTTACACACGAAGCAGAAGAAAAAAAAAAAAAAAAGAAGAAGTCATAAATATTTGGAACATCACGTAGACAATTTGCCCCTCGTGCCCATGGCGTTATGTTACCATGGTTACCGAGAGAGCTTCATCAATGATACAATTTTCCAGTTTCAAAGTATATGCCAAGGATGACTCACTCCGTGGATTTTCCTTAAACTTAATTTGACCTTTTCTCATGTTATTTAAACATTGGTGTCAAGTTTCTATTTATATTTTTTTCTTAACGGAAAAAAAAACGAAAAACTTTCGTCCGACTTTCATTTAGAAAATTCGGTTACTTTTTTTTCTTTTTTGTTTTAATCTGGAATTGCGAATTTTCCCCAGTTTTCATTCGTGTTGTTTTTTTTTATTTATTTTTTCTACTCGAACCCTTCCAAAAATTTTTCCGAAAAAAAAAAAAAAACTTGATAATAATTACAAGAAAAATATTATTATTATTGTTTTTTTTTTTTCTTCACGACCGCGTTTTTGACGGGGTTAAAGAATGAGAAAAAAAAAATTCATTTTTTTTTTTATTATTAGTTTACATCGGTCAGATAGAAAACATGTTTTACTTCATCCCCAATTTTGGGGTTGAAAAAAAAAAAAAAATTTTGTCGTCTATCGTGGCTAACAAAAAAAAAAAAAATTGAATTTTTTTTTTCTTCTCTCTCTCTCTCTCTCATCTTATTTGATCCGAATAACTGAAATTTGTGGATAAATTTTCACATGAATGATTTGAAAAATAAGAAAAGAAAAGAAAAGAAAAAAGAAAAACCTGTAAAAAAAAAAAAAGTGGTAGTAGAAGACGACCGACGTTCAGGCATCCTATTTCGTTTTATTACCTTTTATTTTGCCTTTTTTTTCTTTTTCATCTCCCCCCCTTCCAAAACCTTTCTTCTACCTCTTTTTCTAGCCCCTTTAAAATCCATTTAATCTTTTTTTTTTCATATTTTTTTTGTTGTAAAAAAAATATTATTATTATTATTATTATTATTATTATCATTTTCTTTTTCTTTCTAACAAA